TTACATATCTATAAGTCTACAATTCGTCCATGCTTAGAATATTGCTTCCATATATGGTCCAGTGCTTCTGCTATTTATCTAGAGCTCCTTTAACAAAGAATCAGTAATATTATTAGCCCTGTTCTGGCATCTCAGCTTCAGTTACTTTCTCACTATCATAAGGTTGTCTCCCTTTGCCTTTTCTATAAATACTTTCATGGTATTTGTTCAGATGAGCTCTTTGCTATAGTGTCTAGACTCTTTGAATTTAAATGCAGTACTAGACTGGCAACAAAGTCTCACCAATTTGAGTTGGCTAGATCTAAGCATAAATTCTATGCTAACAATTTCCTGTGGATTAAAAAAAATATATGTGCCTTGCCTCATTTACAAAATATTCTAATTGTTGGTTTTATATGCTTCGTGCTAAATAAATGATAAATGGTGTAAGTTTTATATGGGACAGCTGTTATTATACTCACAATGTTTTGGCCATTGCATGTTCCAGCTTCCTTTCTTTTTATATTTAGTAATCTTAGGAGAATTTTGAACCGAACACTTTATTCACTCTGTTGCAGTTGAGAGTGTTTATAGAGGAAATGGAATGAAAAGAATTGACCCCCATGGATTGAACAAAAATTTAATTTCAAAATTCTAAGAAGGTTACTCAATATGATGAGTACTTAAAGAAGGCCATCAGATACAGTGACCAAAATTGAGTGAGCATAACAATCAAGATGAAAATGCTGGTTCAAATTGTAAGCCATCCAGTAATGATAATTTTATAAAAGACAACCTGCTTCTGTAACTGTAATCCTGTAGATTCCTGGAATATTGGCTTGCATTTATTTCCATTATTTATAGTCAGACTAACATCGTCATCTTTGTTGTTGTTATTACATTTTGACCATTGTGCTTTCCAACCTTCTTCAAGAGATTTTGAACTGTTTCTTTTATTTAATCTAAGGGAGTAGATTGTTCTTGTTTCACAGTTCATGTCTAGGTATATCTTGTTCATTTTTACAAACCTGGTCAGTACCTAGGTAAATGACCAGTTCGGTATATCAGGTGCTATAAGCTTGGATGTGCAGATGGTGTAATGAATAATGGCTCGGAATTGTTAATCAGAGAGCCTAGTTCAATTCCTGTTGACTTCACATTCATTTACATACAAATACCCATGGGAAAGGTATGAATCTACTTCTTCTTCCTCAGATAAGAGTTAATTAGTAAGACTTGAATTACAAAACCAATATTATCTCAAAAAACATTCTTACAATCTAAAAATATTTTCTGGCTTTAAGTAACCTGAAATGGGTTGATAAGACATAAAAAAACAAATCACTAAATAATAATTATTCATTTTTAGCAGTGCTCAGTTATTGCTCAACATCAGACACTAATCTAGAAAATAATAGTGATGGTATGTGAAGTTGATGGTACAGAATTAAGAGTTCAATCCTTGGGCCAAGTATTCTAGACTTGGTGCAAACAGTTTGCACCTTACTCCATGCCTCAGAGTTTGTATTTTAATAACTAAAAATCAGAATACCAAATTTTGGGAAGTAGGTAAAATTTTTAGCACCCTTTCATAGTTGAGAAAACTGGTCTGGATGTTTAAATATAAAGTTTAAGGCTATTTTCAAATATTGATTATGAAAAGTAGTTTCAACTAATACGATTATCATCTTACCAGTCTAAATTAAATGTGGCATCTGTTCTCCCTGTCTCTTGTGTCATTTTTAATAAATTTCTGCTTTCTGTAGAATCTTTGTGACACTTTAAATTATGTAAGTGAAAATTATTACAATTGATTTTTTGTTTTGGTTTTAAAGTTTAAACAAAATTTAAATAAATATACTAGAAGCTTGTGTTCAAGTCAGGATCTCATATGTTGATTTCCAAGCATGTCTTTTCTTCTTATGGGATTACAGAAACACAATCTACCTAAACCATCAATTATCAATTTGATCTTTTCTAAGCTTAGAGAAAATGACTCCACTTGACAAAAAGTAATAAATTTTGATTTTTAAATCATTTATTTAAAAAATTCCAGGAATCCAAAATGGTAATTTTTTCCAGGCTGCTAGGCAGACTCTTCCTACTTTGAAGGCTGACACATTTCTTTCTTCTGTTTATTCCCCATTCATTGTTGTAAAATATGGCAAGGCTGTGTTGAGGTTGAAGGGAAAAACCTATTCAATTGCTTCCCAAGAAGTAGGAGGGTAATAGTCAGAGGAGGGAAAGAGATGGGAGATAACAAAATAACACTGCCTCAGAAACCATAGCACAGCAACTTCAGAAACAAAATGCTTGCTGGACCAACTTCACAAGACACCAAGCCTCACTAACTGCCCACTGCTGACTGCTGGTTTTCCCATAGCTCTAATTGACAGGAGAGAGTTGTAAGAAACCTGGATCTAGACAGGTTGCAGAGAGGACCATATATGGAAATGCCAAGCTGTTCTACTGCTAATGGAGGAAAAACGAATGTTACTTGTCTTGACAAACATGTCTGCACCTGATCCGGGACCTCTTTTGCATCTGTACTGACATGTGCTAACCACATTCATGTTATGCTGAACTGGGCTCAGTTAATTAAATATCAATATGACTCCATTTGAAGGCAAACAGAAAGGAGGCAAAAAATTACATTTAATTTTTAGTTTTTTTTACTAATTACAAAAAAAGACTAAAAGTAATTATACATTTCTGATACTTATCTACCTCCCCACAGAGTAGGATGGGATATATGATCAGTTTAATGTGGAGGCTAACATGTGTACACAAGGACAAAATTACCCAATATCCACAATCAGTGGCACAAAGACATCAGAATACACTGACTTCTACTTCTTGATGCAGAGTGATCCTGCCACAGCATTTTTTTTAATAAATATTTTCATGGTGTTTGTTCAGGTGATCTTTTCTACTTAAGGATTGTGGGAATTTTTTTTACTAACACTATTTTGTTTAGTTTATTGTCAGCTTGTTATCTTCTACCTTTAGAAATATTTGTCAGTGCAGAAAATGATGAATGCTGAGTAGAAAAATGGTCAAGTACTGGTAAAGTCAGAGGGCAGTGCTAAGAAAAACCAAAATGTTGCTAAAATATACTGGTTTCAAATACAATGAGTATTGAAAGCCAACAGTGATTGTTATTTCATGTTTTTCATGCCACCAAATTTAGCTGTATCACAAAATATGTAATCATTAGAGTATATGAAATGTTTGGGATATTCTTTTAATGAATCTTATTTGTGATCTTGAACTATGTATAGTGTAGTGGTTGTCAATAAAGATAGTAGGATTGGAGACTGTTCATCTCTGTACAGATACCCTTGGAAAGCTATAAATCTGTCTCATTCCACTTCCCAGCTATGGATTAAATAGCATGGTGGACTGTGTTCTCTAGCTTTGATTGGCAACCAGATTAAGGGAAGGGAAACTCTGACTCCACCCAATAAAAAGCTACTTTGGAAATGATAGCAACATTTAGCCTGGTGAATGTCCACCCCAGTAACTCACTGTTATTTCACATGTTAACTAACTTGTGATATCACTGATTAAATAATCTGATAGTTTATTAATAAAATCCTAAAATGAGAGTTCTTTTTGTTTATTGCTGAATCAGATTTTCCCAACTGAATTTTGTTATTTTGTTTCAATTATGTGTTTAAGTAATTGTTATATGAAATGCAAATAATACAATAAACTTGGCCAATATTGTCTTGAATCTTATTATTACATAATTCATTAAGAGTATTTCTTTCAGTTGCTTTTCATTGCAAAACTCTAGCTGTTCTTCTATTTGATTAACAAGTTGTAGAACGACAGTCTAAGTAGTTTTGATGAAAAGCAATTGAAACTACAAGAAAAGAAATACAAGACAGAAGAAATAATTAACAGTGCTTCATCTTATGATAAAATTCAATATAATATTATTACTAGTGTATATAAACGAACATCATAGATGGCAAGTTAAGCAATAAAACAAAGCTGTTTGGGCAAATTTGAGCTCTTGCAACCATTGGTTGGTAGATCTATTGTTGTACTTTGACAGGCTTCCAGATGAAAGCAATATGAGTTCAAATCTGACTGAAAACTTATTCTTTATTTCATGTCTGCTCTGTTTACATGACAGTCTGAGTCTTCTTTTATGCACCATGTCCCTTCAGGACAAAGGCAGTTATGTCTCTCCACATCTTCCTGTCCCTTGTAGCTCTTAATAAGTTTTGTCTTTTTATTATTTCTCCCAAACCCTGTTCTACCATCCATTTACTCAAGCCCATCAAGTATATTATGCACTGCTTTCCTCTGTTCCTCTTTAACTCAATATGCCCTTTGAGTATCAGATTTTTTAAGCTTTCCTTCCTCATTACAAGCCCCAGAAATTTCAACTGCCTCTTTCTAATGTTAAGCATAAGTTTCCTTTTTCTTTCCATTTTCTCTAAAAACTTCACCATTTCTCATATGTTTGGTCTATGGTATCCTCAGCATCTTTCTGTAGAACCATATTTCTGTTGCTTCAAGTTTCTTTTTCATCTTTAAGGAGATTGTCCAGCATTCACTGCCATACAGGAAGACAGATATCACATAACAGTTCAGTACTTTTTTCTTCATTTCTAACAAAGTTTTTCTATCTCTTAATACTCTGCTTAGCTTTTGGAATGCCTCTTTGGCCATCTCAATGCATTCTTCAAATCTCAGTGTCACATTTTCTGTCCTCTGTTAAAACACTTTCCAGATATTTAAATTTTTGTCTTTGTTTGATTTTAGTATCTCTGATTTGTAATTTTCATTTTGGGCTCATCCTTTTGCTGACAACCATGCATTCTGTCTTCTTTTAGTTTATATTTATTTATTTTTTCTCGCTTTCCTTTGCTACCTTCTGTAGGAGCTTTTGTAGTAATAAAAAGCAACTGAAGCTAAGATGAAATAAAGGTGAGCAAAAATGAATAACTAGACAGGTTAAAATTTCTAGTAATTCTGAATTAATTTTTTTTTTTCTTCTATTCTAGATGCTCCTGTCAACCCAGAGGAGATGGTGAGTGATGCTGGAGCAGTACGTTTGATGTCTATTCTGGGAAACAAGGGAGATCCCATTGATTCACCTGAAGATACTGTTGGTACTCTCAGAGATAATACTGCCCTACCTGAGGAAATTGTTGAGATACCTGAGGATACTATTGTCACACCTGAAAATACTCTTGATAACCTTGAAGATTCTCTTGCTGATGACTATGAAGATGATGAAATTTTTACAACTGCAGATGCTGAAATGTTACAGCGTCTTCTGAAAGGTAAGACTTTATTAAATTTTAAAAGGTAAGAGGCTCACAGGGTTAAATTTAAGTATGATGTACTTGAGCTCCAGGAGGTTTTCATCCAAGACACTACTTCTCCTTCAATAAAGGACTGAGATTAATTCCCAATGACTGATGCATATGGGGCTTGAGCAACTTTTATCTTTGGTTCTATGTACACATGGGGCTTAAAGCCATATCACAAAACATCAATTCTTGTATGATCACCAGAGTTAAGCAATATCAAGTCTGGTCAATAGATATGGGTGACCAATTGGGAATACCAAGTACAGTAAGCTTAGATGTGCAGGTGGTGTAATGGGTAACTGCTCAAAATTGGAATGCAGAGAGCCGAGTGCCAATTAAAGTCAGGTTTATTATATTCACTTATATACCAATACCGTTGGTAAAGGTAAGAATCCCTCACAGCTATGGGTTAAATAGTAGGACTTTCATCAGTAATTTATCTCCAAAAATTCTTAAAATCCAAAAACTTTTTCTGGCTTTAAATAACTTGCAAAAGGTTGCTAAGTTATAAAAAAAATAAACAATAAAATCCAACTACAAGAGGAAACGATATAATCAAGTTGCTAACTGTATAAAAATGGCTAATCTCACTATTACTATTACATTCTGTGTGAGTGGTTGGGCAGATAAATATACTCGTGTTACATTTTTACAAAATATAATTAATTTCATACAGGTGATTTTTTTTTCTTTTAGTCAGAAACAGGATAGATGTGGAATGTAAAAATGAACAATTTCTAAGTTATTTCACTAGTATATTTTTTGTTATTTATAATTCACTTGCAGAAAAGGTTGCAACATTGGCAAAAATCAATCAGAATATGAATTATGGCTCATCTAATCATAGTGACACTTTTTCTAGAGATGGTTTGATTTCTTTTCATTTCCATATAACTAACAGAACAGAATCAGCATGTATTCTTATTTTAAAATGCTTCGGTGAAAAACACAGTGATAGCATTTCTTACTCTATATTTGATATATAGAACCAAAGCTATATCCTCAGTAGGTTTATATAGATTTGCCTATTATCTGGTTCACTCCCATCCTTGGGCTTTTGAACAGGAGTAGAGGTTTATCCCTTGTTTCATGTTTAGGATTGGGTTTCTGGTTCCTCTGAAATTTGAACTCAATACACGATCCTACTTTTTCATGCTAATATACATTGCACCAGGTACATATCTCTGTTTTTAAAAATGTTAAAAAAAACTGTTTATAGTTTTCTAGTGCAGTCTAAGAGTTAAAGAAAAACATTTAATAACCATCTATTCTATAATGTAAAATATAATTTGATTAAACATATTTATCAGTCATGAAGCCTGATCTTCACTACTTGTAAATGAAATGTTCAGTTATGGTAACAGGACATATTACTTAGTGCCAGTAGACAGACATACTTTGTTTCACAATGACAATAAAATATCTTCTTTCTAAGAAGGGATGTTTACAACCTTACAGCCATTTTTTCACCAACATAACCTCCCAAACCTATCACTACTCTATTACTATTTCCATGGCAAATGTTCAAGCAAACTACATTTCTTAGTTCCACCCATTGAGACCTTGACAGCTAGGACATCATTCACTTTGTATTCCATTGGTAAGAAGAAATTACCACTTCTTGAGAACAGTACTTCATGAAACACTCCCAAGAGAATGCTTTCCTGATCACTACAAGTCTATAATCATCTGTTATCTATCCTACATATCCTCATAATTTGCACATAGTTCATCCTTATGCACTCATGCAACAACCTCATTCAATAACCTTCTACCTTGAGTGACTCTTGGTCCTTGTATTGAATGCACATTTAGTTAAAAAAAATATACCCTCACACACACACACACACACACACATATATAGATAAATATAGATACAAAATCTAGATTACCTATGTCAAAATATAGTCAATTCTTTTTTTGCTATATGCCATGCCATTTCAGGACGTTGGTGATCATGGCTCTCCTGTTCTTTTTAGCTCTTAATAAATTTTACCTTTTTGTTATCTCTTTTAAAATATGCCCCACCATCTATTCAAGCTCTCTAAGTAGGTTATGCATTGTTTTTCTCTGTCTCGCTTGCATTCAGTATATCCTATGAGTATCAAGTTTTCCAATCTCTCTTTCCTCATTATGTGCCCTAGAAATTGCGACTATCTCTTCTTAATGTTAAGTATAAGTTTCCTTTTTGTTCCCATTTTCTCTAAAACTTTGTCATTACTCACATGTTTAGTCCATGGTATTCTCAGCATCCTTCTGCAGAACTACATTTCTGTTGCTTCAAGTCTCTTCTTCATCTATGAAGCTATTGTCCCGCATTCATTGCCATATAGGGGGAATTGATATTATTTAACAGTTCAGTACTTTTTCTTTGATTCTAATGAATTTCTTCTGTTTCTTAATACTTTGCTTAGCTTTTTCTAGTCATGGATTTGCAAGATTATTTAAATGTTACTAACTTTTTAAGGTATAGGTAATATTTAAATGTTATGCATATTTTTTCATAATAAAAAGAATAAAAGCAATCAAGAATGAGAAAGTAACTGACCTCACTGATAAACTCTATATTGATGATTAGTGAGGCCGACTTGCTAACTATTGCAAAATGATAGTGAACTCATCTACTTTAACAGAAAATACAATAAAACAGTTTTTTTCTCTGTCCTCCTTCTTTTTTCAGGTAGTCTCAGCCTGGACAGTCTATCTGACAAGCAAATGACTCACATTAATAAATATGTGAACACTTTGTTGGATGCAATCAATGAAACTGATGAACAGCCAGAAGAAATGAATCAAGCTGTTGATGAAGATGTGAGGGATTTGCTCAAGAGTGATAAACTTACTCCAGATGATGCAAAACAATTGAGCAGAGTAGAAGCTTTAATGGGTGAGTACAGCATAATGATACATATTTAACCCCTTTCACCACTTAGATCATTTACACTTGGACTATTATCCTCATCTTTGTTGTTATCATTGCAACGTTTCGACCATTATACTCTCCAGACTTCATCAATCCAACCTGTCAATCTTGGTAACCTTTAAGTAATTTCAAAGCTCTTTATTTAATCTATGGGGGTAGATTGTTCTTGTTCTGCTGGCCATGTCTAGAGATATTCCATTCTTATTTAGTGCTGCTCAGTTATTGGTCAAGGTGTTTCCACTGAGTCTGTACTATGGATTGAACTACTATATCACCAAATTAGTCACCAACTAATGCTTTAATGCACTCAGATAAGGACAATAGATTGAGTGTAAATAATGATAAATCCTCATCTCAGGAATTAAGACAGAAACATCTTCATTGTTGTGACTAGTCTAAACTTATTATCTGGTCTGGTGATAGAACCCTGTATCTTGAAATTCTTGACAAAATTCAGTGAAGAGTCTCTAATGTAGTTGATCCTGATCTGGCATTTCAACATCAGTCACTTTCTCATTGATGTGACATGGATTCCCTGTGTCTTTTCTACAAATATTTTCATGGCAGCTGTTCTGATGAGTTTTCCTCCTTGGAGTCACGACTGCATGAATATAAGTGTCTCACCATTTTACTGTTGAACTAGCTAGATACAACTTTATGTTCTATTCTAATAGTTTCTTTTCACACACTTCTTGCTTGTAGAATTCCCTTCTAATTTCTGACTTCCAAGCTGCCTAGAATCTTAAATTTAAATGCAACACCAATCACCATCTTCCGTCTTCCTGAAGCTGTTCTTTTATTGTTCTATCTCCTCACTAAAGTCTTCTCTTCCACTCCCAGTAACCCCTTATATCCTAGTGGCATTATCACCTTACTTGGGGTGAAATGATTAAAAAAAAAGATTGTATCTGACTTGGAATTTTTTTTTTTTTTACAATTTTATGTGCTCAAACTATCTATCCTCAAATGAATATTTCCGACCTACCATTTCTTTCAACTACCCAGTTCTTCATTTCTGATTCTTGTACCATCTATGAATTGATCAATAAATGTTCTTGCTAATCTATACCTTTTGCTTCTTTCTCATAATTTGTTTTCCATAGTATAAACCAATACACAACTTCTTGACATTTAGTGTGACTCTCAATAGTTGAGTGTATGTAAAATCTTTTGTTTTTACCATTGATTTTCTTAATGTCTAACTGCTTTTTCTACAGTTGAACTTAAGAGTTACAGTTTCAAAAAATTTTTTTCAGTTATCTTTTCTAAATGGTATTTAATTTTGATAGTGCTTTCTATGCCATTGCAATAATGATGTATATGACTTTTATGGGAGAAGTTCAAATATGATTGTAGATATTATCCACATTATTTAGTCTGAACTCACAATTATTATGTCACAAAATTCATGAACCAATACTTTAATCTACAAAGCTGTTGTCTCAAGGAACAATCCCGAGTCTAGAACTTGGGGTTTTAAACATAATCTGCCTACTGCTGACAAATGCTGCTGCTGCTGCTGCTTGACATGCATTCACTGAAGCTGTTCTTTTTTACAGTTGAAACTGTCATTTCTCATTGTTTATTATTAATATCTCCCATATTGTATTTATTTCTATACTAGTCCTACTAAGGAGGCCCTCATAGATTAGTGCACATGCTAATTCCTTTAGGCATTTAAATTTCCAGTGTTTTTTCCTGTGTAATATTTCTGGACAGTGTACTCCTGTAAATTAAATAAAGTGTTCAGTTTAAAATTTCCTGAAGATTACCTAAATTAAAAATAACCTGAAAACAGCCAGAAGGGTTAACAGTGAAAACATTGTGATAAGAAAAAAAATGAGGACATTTGTCTTAGTTGAAATAATGTAAATAATGCATCTTTTATGCTTACAAATCTATCTTTCCCATGTCTCTTCAGCATATAGGCAATCATAGTTCTCCACAGCTTCCTAAAATTTATTGCTAGAACAAGCACATGGCAGATTGAAATTTGATATATGACACATATTTAAATAAAATTTATTCAAATATTAAATTTCTTTCAATGCCAGCAGTTACTTCTAATTGATAAAACTGTTTTCTACAGCTTGTAAACTTTTTGCAAGTTATTTAAAGCTAGAAATTGTTCTTAGATTTTTAAGAATTTTTTTAGAGATAGTAATGATTTAGTGATACAAGTCTAATTAACCCATAGCTAGGAGGAGAAGAGGTGAATTCATACCTTTCCCAAGGGTATTTGCATGCAAATGAATAATTATGACTGGAAAATTAAAACTCTACTCTTTGATTAATAATTCTGAATTGTTATCCATTACATCACCCATATATCCTATTTCCAGCATCTGGTATTCCCAAGTGGTCACCCATCTAGATACTGACCAGGTTTGACATTGCTTAACTTTGGTGATAATGCAGGAACTTGTTTATCAATGTGACATGGCCATAGTCCCCTAACAATTACAAGTGAAATAAATGAAAATAGCTCAAATGAACTGATCACAAAATTGGTTTATTGGCACTGCAGTTATAATATATTCAACAGGATCATTATTAGCCTTTCTCTGCTTGATTAGACGTACTTATTATCAATTTCAATATTGGTAGCAGACATTCAGTATCCATCTATCTGTTCAAGAGGAATTTGCTTGGAATTTGTCCAGTATAGCACTTGATTTCAATAAACATTAAAAATAAACTGACCTTGCAGCATTCTTCGGCAAGAGTTGTTCTCTTAATTACATTAAGGAGGTACAATCTGAGAGTTTGATCTCAAGGGCTAGGGTTTGATATGAACATCTTTGTAGTTTTCTCTGAAGTGAAGGCCAAAGTGGAAATAATCTCTTCATTAACTGAGGTATGAGAAGGTATGAGCAAGTAACTTTTCATTTTGGTGAGGTACAGTCTTAATAATCTCATATTATTAATGATATACTATGTTATAACATGCTTTGTAGCACTTATAATATAAGTAATGCTTCGGCTGCTTGCCATGATTCCTGTATTATTTAGTCTGAAAACTGAATACAACAGCTTTTCCTTTTTACCTCTGACCTGGAGTTCTTTATTTGTAGTTATAGACTAGTTTATATACTCCCTGGGGTGTACTATTGAGATTAATACTTTTATAATTTTTTTATTTTTTTATTAGTATTAGTATCTCCCCCTCCTCTTTCTGGAGAGTTCGACAACTTATTTGACTTTGTAGTGTTTCTGTCTCAGATCCAATTCCAGTTCTTCAGTATGCTTTCTTTTTCTGAAACTTGTCCTTGTAGGTTCCATGACTTTTTGTCGTGCTGGCACATCGAAAACATCATATAGCATTTTTATCGGTTCTTCCAATGAAACTTTTTTCAGCTGATTTTGAGCATAATCAGCTGAAAAAAGGTTAATTCAAAAACAATTCACATTTTATTCATTGAGCTTGAATCCATACTCTCTTAGTTTTACCAAAATTGTTTTCCTATGATCAATATGTTGTTCTTTAGATACACTTTTGATTAAAATGTCATCCAGATATGCCACTGCAAAAACACAATCTGCAAGCAAGGTATCCATGTTGAAAAATAGCTGGTGTCACCTTTATACCAAAAGGAAGTTGGTTAAACTTCTATTCTTTGTGTGTATTTATGGTTGTTAATTCTGAACATTCATTTTCAATCTGAATTTGTACATACACATCAGAGAGATCCAGCTTTGAAAATATACTTGTGGCATTTAACTTTGAAAAAGTTTCCTCTAGACTTGGTAATGGGTAGTTATGTGTTTCTAAACAACTGTCTAATACTGTTGAGAATTACATGCAAACACAAATTTCATTATTTCTTCCCATACACCACTGGTGCAGGCCATTTTGAATGGTTAATTTTTTTTTATTACACCAATTTTTTTGAGTCTGCCAAACTCTTTGTTGCAAATGGTATGCTCTGTTTCAGCTTAAATACTGTCGTTGGACCAATTTTTACTTGATAATCCACCTTTAATTTTGAGCACCAACCCAGTTCATTTGACAGAACACCTGGAAAACGTTTTTTTAATTCTTTATATGGATTTTTGCTCTAAATTTTTAAATTGGTTGCTTGTCCACTTACATTTTTACAATAAACTTTTATCAGCAAATCCCAAAGTTCAAATAGATCCATCCAGTCAGTACCAAATAAATTTGTAGCATTTTTAATATATAAACTTTAGTTTTTACATGCTTATTACAGAATGAGACATTATAAGTCATTTCTCAAAAAAAAAAAAATTCTCACCAGAAACTGAAATCATGACTTTGAAAGTTCTTTTTAATCAAGGCTTTCCAATTTCCTTCCATGTGGTTTCACAGATTATTGAAATGTCACTGTCAGTGTCCAGTAGCATTTTCACACCCACATTATTTATTTTCACGTTCACAAATTTCCTTTCATTTTCTGTGACCATTTTTTCTGTCATAATACTGTGTATTAATTTCTTCCTATGATAGTTTTTTCTTGGTTTGGTTTTGCAATATGACATTATATGTCTTCATTTACCACACTTGTAACATTCTACATTTTTAAATGGACAGTCATTTCCACAATGTAATTTCCCAAATCTGAAACTAGGATTTATTCTCCTTTTTGTACATTTGTCCTTTGCTTGTACCAATACACATTGTTTTTCCTGAATTTTTTTAGCATCATGTTTCTTAGAATTGTCTGTCAAACATCCACTATTTATTAGCAGTGTAATATAACTGTTTTGTTCAATTTTTGTTAAAATGTTTGCTCATATTTTGGCATCTTTCTTAGCTGTTAAGCCTTGAATGAAAATTAACCATTGAATATATCTGGAGTCATTTCCTTAATTCTAAACTTTTCACATTCTTTGACGATACCAGCATATATGACAAAATCTTCATCCTTAATATTTGGTTAGATTCAGGCACCTCCAATGAGCATTAAACAGAGAGCTCTTTTCACTAAAGATTATCGTCAGAA